ACAACCCATAGGGCCACCAATAGTAATCTCCAATTTATACCACTGAGACCCTGTCGCAGATTGTTCAGCGCCGACTTCGTCATTGATGCTATACTGATATTTTGTATTCCTGCCGGGTAGGCTATTGACTGAAACATGCATGATATGAACAGCCATGGCTGAACCGACTGAGTACTGCCAAAACCCTCGGTACCCATCAGTTACCGACCGTCGACGGATCGAGATGATTAACTTGAAGGGCAAAACATCCTCGGTCGGACTGAGTCGGTCACATCGTCGTATGTCCGCGAGTCTCGTCCGACGACGGAGCGTGGGGAACATGACCCCAGATTTTTGGCGAGGGGAAACTGGGGTAGAGATGGGGAATCACAAACAGGTTCTAGGAAAGGAGCAGTAGAAGGCTTCATAGAAGACTTGATATTGACTGTGATATATATAATTCATGAAATTCATATTACTAAAGAAATGTAGAGTGCTCAAAAAGCTGACTTAAGAAGTATGCGGATAGCGATTCAACGGCTTCATGAAGGTAATGCTTAGAGTTGAGGCTTGTGATAGTGAGCATCAATGCCCCGCGTCTCGTTATATATGTACGATATCAGCATCTGGCTTCTCAAAACCAGAGTTCAGCAGATTGATACTGCGTGAGGTACAGTATCAAAACAAACGATGAGAAAACACCAGTGCCATGGTCCCCTTGAGGCCACACATTCGATCAACAACAATCATCTCCAGCAACCCTTCAAGTGGATAGTTTTGGTCGGTGAGGATCAGACTGAAGCCAAATCAACAAAATGATAACAATTGAGTGCAATGATTGGCTAATATATGGGGTTTGAGTTTCCCCTCACTAAAAAAGCCCCTGGAAGGCTTCATTTTTCTGATCGTGATAATTGGAGATCCCAGGCTTTTCGCACAGTACACTTGTATGTTAGACTTACGCAAATGGACAGTGTGAAAATGATCAATTTCCACGAGTAAGTCCAGCCGGCGGCTAGCCGAGGGTGTTTTGCGGTAAGCTACGGCAAACTGAGGCGCCTACAGCCGAGCGTAAAATATGAATACCTACCAACTTTCTCCAAGACAAAAACCTCTAGGATATTAGGCCCTGCAGAAGGTTGTTGTTCTCTTTTCTCCTTCTTCCTTCTTTGCATTTGTGATACCCCTCATCATCATCATCCCCCACGTCAATTGACCTCGACCTTCTTCTTCGTTGATACGCAGGAAGAAGACCGTAAGCCAATTATCCCCAAGAATGTCTGCCGTTAACCGGACCCTCCGAACGGCCTCCAAGCAGCTGCGCTTCCAGTCTCCCCGGGGTCTTCGTGTCGCCGCCCCTCTCGTGGCCCGCTCGGCGTTCGGCGCCGCTCGCTCTTCTCTTCCCGCTTCTCACGGCGCCGCCTTTTCAACTTCAGTTGCCAGACGATCAGGAGCTCCCAACATGTCTTCCGCCGACCGTGAATACGATCCTGAGATCAAGGACATTGCCGACTATGTCGCCAATAAGACCATTGACTCTGAGCTTGCTGTGAGTGCTCCCAATTCTGCCGAGGCCGATTTTGCACCCCGCAAAATACCCCGCCTTGAAGCTTCTCACCTCAACACCAACAAAATTATCACGAGAACTCAATGGCACTCTATCGTTGAAATTCATTGCTAATTACTATTTGAACAGTTCGACACTGCTCGATGGATCCTCCTCGACACCCTCGGTTGCGGTCTCGAGGGCTTGAGGTTCAAGGAGTGCTCTAAGCTCCTTGGACCCATTGTCCCTGGCACTGTTGTCCCTAATGGTCCCAAGGTCCCTGGTACTCCCTTCCAGCTTGACCCCGTCAACGCCGCTTTCAACATTGGTGCTATGATCCGATGGCTCGACTTCAACGACTGCTGGCTCGCTGCTGAGTGGGGTCACCCCTCTGACAACTTGGGTGCTATCCTCGCTGTTGCTGACTGGATCAACCGTACCAACAAGGCTGGTGGTAACCTCGCTGGCGGCAAGACCTTTGTTGTCAAGGATGTCCTCGAGGCCATGATCAAGGCCCACGAGATCCAGGGTTGCTTGGCCCTCCTCAACTCCTACAACAAGGTCGGTCTTGACCACGTTGTTCTTGTCAAGGTCGCCTCTACCGCCGTTGTCTCCAAGATGCTCGGCCTCAACGAGAAGCAGATTGCCGATGCTGTCACCCAGGCTTGGGTTGATGGCCAGTCTCTGCGAACCTACCGCCACACCCCCAACACCATGTCCCGAAAGTCCTGGGCTGCCGGTGACGCTTGCCAGCGTGCCGTTAACCTGGCTCTCAAGGTTCTTAAGGGTGAGCAGGGCGTTCCTACTGTCCTGTCCGCTCCCGTCTGGGGTTTCTATGATGTCCTCTTCAAGGGCCAAAAGTTCGAGTTCCAGCGCCCCTATGGCAGCTATGTCATGGAGAACGTTCTCTTCAAGGTCTCTTACCCTGGTAAGTTCAATCACTGAAGTCAATCTGTAAAGACAAGTCTAACATGTAATAGCTGAGTTCCACTCTCAGACCGCCGTCGAGGCCTCTGAGAAAATTCACCACCTCCTCAAGTCCCAGGGCAAGTCTGCCGCCGACATCAAGTCTATCACTTGCCGAACCCACGAGGCTTGCATCCGCATCATTGACAAGCAGTTCAAGCCCATGGACAACTTTGCCGACCGTGACCACTGCATCCAGTACATGTGCGCCACCATGCTCGTCTTCGGCCGTCTTGAGGCCACTGACTACGTCGACGGTGGCGAGGCTGCCACCTCTCCTCTGGTCGAGTCTCTCCGCCAGAAGATCAAGTGTGTCGAGGATCCTCAGTACACCAAGGATTACCATGACCCCAAGCTCCGAACCATCTCCAACGCTCTCACTGTCGAGCTCAACGACGGCACTGTCCTCGATGAGGTCGCTGTTGAGGCTCCTCTTGGCCACCGTCTCCGCCGTGAGGAGGCCAAGCCCGTCATTCTCGAGAAGTACAAGCGCCACCTTGGCCCTCACTACCCCGAGGCCCGCGTTAAGGAGCTTGTGGAGCTCAACTTGGACGCCAAGAAGCTTGAGTCTACCCCTGTTGATGAGTATGTTGATCTATACACTGTTGAGAGCAGCAAGTTTGTGCAATAAAGGATTTATGAATGGGAGAGATGGAGGATGCATATTTAATCGCAAAGCCCAAAGAAGGCTATGGCTTGGATAGAATGAAAATATCACGCCTAAAATGAACCAATGAATATAAAAAATTCAACAAGACTCATTGAAAGAACCTACAAGCACCTTAGTTTGTTTCCATGTGTAAAAGGCGTCTGAGTTGCACCACAGCCAAATTCATCACCTTACGAACTACTCCGTATTAAATCTCGTGATTGGGTCGGATTGAGCGAGGGGCAGCACCGCCTCAAATGCCCGCTTTATTTGGTAGGGGTTTTGGCTTGGGTGCTTGGCCGAATTCCGAAGCCCAAGAACCGTTGGTAACAGGTCGAAACACTCTCCTCCTGCATCTAACTTCAACCTGACATCCTGTCATTACTGAACCTTTGTCACGTTGTATTAGTGTCGCCAAAACCATCAGAATCTGAGTTGATTTATCAGTCTTAAAAACATCTTTATACCCGCATCGCAAGTCCGGACCCTTTCGGCCGCACCATCCGTAATCATGGCCGCAGATCGCCAGACTATTATTGAAGTGAACCGTTCGCTTCGCAACATCAAAAATGTGAATGCCCTCGAATCCCCGTCACCGGAACCCCACTTACGCTATCATACTCATCTGGGCATTATCACTGAACGTCAACTAACACCGTGAAGGAACTCGAGAACCTCCTTGAGCGAGGCGTAATTGACGACTCCGTCTACGATACCATCAACACCGCTCTCCCCGGCGAGTCCTCCCTCTCGGGCCCCCTCAAGACTGCGACTGGCAACAAGAGCGCCAACACCGCTGCTCCTAAGGCCGCTACCCCCGCACCCGCCGCCCACGCGCCTCCTACCAAGGCCTTCGAGGATCTCAAAGTCAAGTCGCATTCGCCCGCGCCACCCGCCTACGACCAAACTCCTCCTCCTGGCCCTCCCCCACGCAACGTCAAGCCCACTGTTGCCAACGCCCGCGCCCTTTACCGCTATGCTGCCTCCGACGGTCGCGACCTGTCCTTCGAGAAGGATGACCGTATCGCTGTGTACGAGTACATGAACCAGGATTGGTGGATGGGCCGAAACGAGCGCACAGGACAGGAGGGTATCTTCCCCCGAAACTACGTCCTTGTCGACCAAGAGACCAAGAAGCCCGTTGCGCCTATTCCACAGCCTCAGTATGGCTACCCTGCTTACTCGCAGGGTCCTCCTCCTCAACAGAACCCTTACAACTCGCATGTGCCACCCATGGCTGTCGCTGAGGGATCTGGACAGCCGCAGGGACAGGAGGGAGATGGCAAGGATAACAAGGTCAACGAGTACGGCAAGAAGTTTGGTAAGAAGCTGGGTAACGCTGCTATCTTCGGTGCTGGTGCCACCATCGGAGGAAACATCGTCAACAGCATTTTCTAGAGTCACACAATTGGGAAAGATACATTCGCTTGATTTTATTACAGGGCGCATATATTGGGCGTTAAGGATTCGAAAGGTTCATAGACAAGTATCTCAGGACGATACCGAGCCTGTTTTCAGTCTTTGTTTAGTACACAGGGTGTTTAATTGACCGTTGCGAAGATCAGAACTTGCTTACATATGGGAAACTCAAACAATAATCGTGAAGCTGATATCTCAATTCAATAATGATATAATTTGAACACTTTTAGCCCATAGTGGTTCTCATGAGGCGTTCATCATGGCTGGTGGATCTGCTACGCTATGTATACTGTGCCCAATACAGTGCTAGTATCTTGACTACTACGTGAAATCTAGCCATGATCAGTATCTACACTGTACGTCGCAAAATTTCTTGTTGACGTTCGAGAAATCTTAAACGAAAGAATTCAACAACACCGTAATCAAAACACAGCCTTCATCATGTCGACTACTAAAAAGCGTCAAGCGGAGGATACCCCTGCTCAGCCAAAGCCAAAGAAAAGCAAAAAGAGAAAGGCGAATGCACCAGATGATGAACTTCTCGATACTGAGCTTGGCCTCAACACGCTCTTCACCAAGATGGACAACCAGCTCTTGGCCGATCATCTCGCCCAGAAATTGGGACGCTTCGGCACTGACTTGAGCGCTGTTGAAATTTCTGATATGACTGTATCAGGTAAGAATTCCCGTTGCCAATTGCTGTTTTTGGTGAAAATCTCATTCACAAATTCCCAGCCAACGCGATCCAAGATACCACCTCATGGCAAGAGTCAAGAACATTGGATAAGTTTCCCGACTTCCTGGAGAAGGTAGCAGAGGACCCCGAGGGCTTGAAGAAGGCGCCTAAGAAGAAGGGATCGCCGCATACCCTCATTGTTGCAGGAGCAGGTTTGAGAGCTGCAGACATTGTCAGGTATGCTACTGCGACTCAGTTTGAGAGGTAAAAAGACTGACTCCGAGCAGGTCGGTGCGCAGCAAGTTTCAAAGTAAAGAGAATTCAGTCGCGAAATTGGTACGTATCTCTTAAAGATGAATGGGAATGATATCGCTAACACATACAAGTTCGCCAAGCACATGAAAATCGAGGAGCAGGTCAAGTTCCTCCAGAACCACAGAACTGGCATCTGTGTCGGCACACCTGCCCGACTTATGGATCTCATCGACAACGGTAAGTCCGGTCTCGACTCTTCCCTCCTCTTTCCTGTCTCCTTCGAAATCGCAGGCAGGCGCTGACTTCAGTAGGCGCACTCTCCTTGGATAACCTGAAGCGGCTAGTCGTTGATGCTTCACATATCGACCAGAAGAAGCGAGGTGTGATGGACATGAAGGATACGATGATGCCCCTAGCTCGCTTCTTGTCAAGAAAAGAGTTCAAAGATCGATACGGTGACGAGAAGAAGCCGTTGGCTTTGTTGTTCTATTAGATGGATGTGATACCCTGACACAAGAAAAGTTGAATGCAGCGAAGCTGTTTCTGTTTGAGACTTACCCTCGATTGTATACATTATAGATCTTACCTGCTAGACTGTTTATCTCCACAATGAAGAAGATGCCTTCTCGCTTTTCATTTCCTTCATTCAACTTTGAGTGGTTTCCCCTACAGTGGAAGGGGCCGCTCCCAGTACAGCAACTTGGCACCTGCTCCTACCCTCACCATTACCAGACACCACCTTCCTCAGATGCATCAGACCCTCCGCCTACTTCTTGATCTCTGGCGACCCTCCCGATCTTAGACTTTTCATCTTCATCCGTTGTCTTCAGCTACAGCTCAAGCTCGTTTTTGGAACGCATCTCACTCTTTTTGGAACCCATCCCTCAATCACTCACTCACCTGTTTTGGTACTGTCGTTTAAACCAGCACCCAATTTCTACAAGCTTCTCTCATAATAGCCCCTTGCTTCCCTTACAGTCATGCGTCCTCAATTGTTCGCTGGCTTATTATCGAGCTTAGCTACTCGTACATACAGCCTCGATACATCCACACCAGGTAGGGACTCTGAGCCCAATATCAATGAATATTCTGACAAAACATTGTAGAATGTGCTACCATTTGCTCTCGCGAACTTATGCACTACCATGGTATTCCTACTGTTGAGGGTGTCTGTCATGACATGGCCGTTCAACGAGTAAGTTATGACTTCTATTGCATCGAGTGATGGATTACTGACTACGCACAGGAACTATTCTCATGCCTGGCCAGTTCTTGCACTGATCAGTATGGTCAAGCTTTGACATATACTGTATCCACTTGCTCTCTTCATGGTGCTCCCATCAGTGATCTCCTTCCCGTGGAAATACAGCATACGAGCCTTACAACGAGGCACTTCATGCCTCTCGTTTCACGCTCTGATTCGGCCAGCTTTGGGTTCGAAACCCGTTTTAGCCTCTCTGTGGACTGTAAAGCCGGATCTGATGGTGTTCTTACATTGTCTCTCCCCGAATCCACCGCTTCAGCTCATCAATCTATTCCTGGCGGTGGTTTCCCTATCTCAACAGGAGCTGGGAATGGCAACTCCAATGCCGGAGCAGGTCCACCAGATGGTGCCCCAGGCCCGAGCAATGGTCCCTTACCGGGAAACACCGCAGGCTCAGGGAACAGTCAAGGCAGTCCTTCAGGAGGTACAGGTCCCGGGGGAGGTGGTGGCAATGGCGGAACTGAACCGTCAGACCCCAACGCGGATTGTGAAGAAAACAATTCCAACAATGGGCCTTCACAATCTGGCAACAATGATGGCCAATACCCGCCTGCCCCGGCTCCGGTTCCCGCCAACCCTCCTGCCAACAGTGATCCCCAGACAGATGGCCAGTTCAACGGCCCTCCTGCGCCAGGACCAGATGGTGCTGTTGGTAACAGTTCGCCTGACGATCCCAATCAAGGCAATACAGGACAACCACAGCCACAACCCGCTCCTGCTCCCGCACCCGCAACTGCTCCTTCAAACCCGGATGGAGGTGACGGGGCGCCAAATAAAGATGGAACTGGCGGACCGGGAGAGGATTGCGATGAGAACGCTCCTGGAAACAATGCTGCTCCAGCCCCTCCAAATACTGGCGGCTCAGTTGACTGCTCTATCGATATTAACAATCCAGCATGCGCCAACCAGAATCAACTTCCTCCTGGGCCTCCGGCACCTCAGCCTCCAGCACCTCAGCCTCCGGCACCTCAAATACCAGCGCCAGCGCCGGATTCTCCCGCTCCTCAAGGACCCCCTACCGGCCCTGCTCCCGCTCCTGCTCCTGCTCCTGCTGGAGATAAACCTCCTTGTGGTGCTGAAAACGGCATACCAGACTGCCCTGCCTCTCATCAGCCTCCAAATGGCGATGGTAGTGGCGGAAATGCGTGCTCGGACCCCAACTCCGGCTGTGACTCTTCTGAGCCTTCCTCACCTCAGCCGCCCCCTCAGACAACACCCCCTGCTGTTCCAAATAGCTGTACTGGGGATGAGAACTCACCTTGTCACGATGGAGGTGACAGCGGATCTGATCCAGGATCTAGAAGTATACCTGCGAACCGTCCGTCGCCCAATAGCCCTGGTGCGCCTCCTCCCGATGTAGGGCCTGCACCTGCTGCCCCCCCTTTTCAACCAAACACAAATGGTAATCCTGACGACGAGGCCTCTTCCGCAAACGGTGGCCCAGGAATCCCAGCGCCAGCCAATCCTCCTTCTCCTGCATCTCCGCCTTCGACTCCCCCGGAAGGTCAGGTCCCTAACGGTTCCCAAGAGAATGATGGTACTGGAAAGGAGAGCCCCGTCAAAGGAAGTGGTAATGGTGATGGCGGAAAAGGGAGCAGTGATCTCGGACCCCAAGCACCAGAAATCACAGCACCACCTGCACAACCCGCTCTGCCTACACCAGCAGTTCCAGCCCAGCTTCCTGGACCTCCTGCCCAACCAGGCCCTCCTCAACCTACTGGTCTCAACGCTGTTGGCGGCGCTCATGAGGGACCTCAAGTCATCACAGTAATTATACCAACGCAAGTAGAGAGCACAGCAACAAAGGTCATGACAGTCTAGCCGACAAATGGTCCTTCAATGTACTCATCACCATCTCAATTGAAGGAACGTGCCATGGCTGACATAGAGCGAAGGCAAGAGAATGGTCAAGAACTTGGCGCTCCTGGTAACGATATCCCTGCCCAACCTGCCCCTGCTTCAGCGGCATCAGCGGTCCAAGCAGATCTTCCGACGGAGTCAGGCATGCCCGAACCTTCGTTCGTTGTTTCAAACGACTCGACAAGAGCCCATGGCTACTCACAGACCTCACTGACTGTTGCTGTCCTGTTTGTGGCAATGTTTTCATGGCTACTGATATGATGCTATGGCTTACATTCTTTGTATTCATAGGCCGTGGTGCCCAGAAATGTGGGAGTTTAAAGACATTGCATTGTTTTAAAGAAATCTGTATTAATTGGTGGTTTAGATAGAAGATGATGGTGGATGAAGCACGTGAAATGGTATGATAATATTGTAGTTCCTATTCTTATAGCAACATACCCAAATGCAATGACTTGTTCCTGGACGATTTGTACTCGAAAGGACATTGCAATGACTTCAAAATTTCGGCGTATAACTATAAGAATCAATATACAGGCTTGGTCAAGAACTCGCTTTAACATTATCTGCGCTTGTGAGGTAGCTAGATGATCAAGGTCACGCCGTTCCCTAACCGCCATCTTTTGAGTTTATACCTATATTTTGGGCTTAGCAGGAAGTAATACTCGGCTGAGATTCATCTCGTACTTTTGTGGTTGAATGTCCAGCCTCAATTATTTATACCAAGTCTTATCGGCACCCTTTAGCTGTCCTTTGAACTTCATGCCCATTGTCCTCATCGCTTCATCCTCACAGGTTTCCCACTTCTGCATCAACAGCCTGACATCTTCGATAACACTTTCATCCTTTGGATCCTTTGCCTTGGTGAGTATATGGCCAATGATCTCCCAGCAGAGATAGTCCTTGAGTGTTGGCTGTTCTGTGGAAGCAAGATCATATTCCTGCAATTCTGCCAAAATGAGTGCAAAACGGCCGAATGACTGTGTGAGGGGCCAGTAATCAAACTCCTCCTTGAGTTTCTGAAAGTCCATATGATACGGGTGATATTGGCGGCTTTCAAGGTCCCCGATGAGCTTGTAAAGCTCTTCTGTGAATGCCTTATTTTCTTCAAATATTTCATCGGACAAGGGCACGGGTATCGTTCTTAGTTTCATCTGAAACACACTGGGCAGCCTGCGAGGCTCTGCTTCCTTGCTGCGGATACTTTCTTGAACTTGCTCTGTCTTGGAGATTATCGTTTTGATCACGGGCACTGAGTTCTCCATCCAGTCGTTCCAGTTCTGTCGATCGTTGAATCGTCCGCCACTAAGCCTCATGACAAGCGTCATCACCATGTCGGCTTGTCCAATCTTGAGTAGTCTCTCAATATATTCGATCACGAAGGACTGAAGCATCTGTAAAGATACTCCATTCCCAGCCAGCTTGGATTCTCGGTCGGCAGGGCTCTGCTGTACCATGGCGGCAGACAGCATGATTCCAAATTTGAACGAATCACGCCCGGGGTTGGAAAACTGCGAAAGCCAATGCTTACCTGCCTTTGAGTTAACGAGATCCCGGTCCTCCTGGATGGCCTTTGTGATGCGCTGTATGCCGGGGCTGGGATCGATATTGATGAGTGCCGCGGAGCGAACCATATTGAAGACTGATACAGGTGTGTAGGGCTGAAGTTGTCCATAAAGAGCAGATACTGCATTGAGATGCACAGGGAGATTTGGAAGCTCTTCCTCAAGAGTAAAGTTGTTTTTACTCAAGAAGAGTTTCATCCAGCGGGTGTTGTTCGCAGCCGATTTCTCTATTGCGCCCATAACGAGTGATGCGAGCCTCCTTTTATCTTCTTCGTTTAAACTCTGTCCCCTGACCTTCAAGATCAAGAGCTGGAGAAGGGGAGTTTCGTCTCCAATCTCAGGCAACGGGGCGTCCTGGGCTGAAGCAGCAACCCATTCAGCTTCAGTCAGTCCGCGTCTCTCATTGAGCTGTGCGGCTGCTGGAACGATATACTCCCCAAGGGCATCAAGGATGCGTTTCCGTAGACTGGGAGGGCAAGTAGGTTCTTCCAGGATTGCAAAGAGACTGTTGGTGATGGTTATTCGAATGTCGATGTGTCGTGCTTCCGCAAGGAGGCCAACAAGGATTTCACACGCTGAAGGCGAATCCATGAACAGGTTGTACTGTAAGATCTGGGCCAGCATCTTGACGGTAGTAACCTTGATGGATGGCCCCTGAGAGGGCTTGGGACCTGCTGATGCGTCATCCTCAGTGGTTTCCTTGGATCTTTCTGCCTGTTCTTTAGCGTCTGTGTTCTGATTTTGTTCTCGCATCTTCTCCTTCATCGCACTGGCCATTGTGTGTAACATTTCCTTTGCTGGCTCAGCTGGAAGCACAGAGAGGAATCCAACGCTGAGGAGATGGCGGTGCCAAGAAGAGCTTTCTTTGGCGCCTTCACTGTCCAGAACCAAGTCGCGAATGAAGGGGCAAGCCAGTGAAGGCTGATCGCTAGAAGCCAGACGCTCAATGACGAAGACAATATCCTGCATCTGCGCACGTATGGCTTCGGATCCCAGTCGTTCCCTCGTCCTGTTGATAAGAAAGCGTGCCAGCTCTGCCTGCAAACCAGGTGATAGAGATGTCCTGGAAAGTAGACGGTATACGTAACTACCCTTGACAGACTCGCGATTAGATGAAGTGGTGAGAGAGTCGAAGAGCGAACCGCCATGTGCGGTCGCCAAAGCTGGGTTTCGAACTACAGCACCAGCTTCAATAAGCAAATCCGTTGTTGGCTTCCAGACTATCTCCATCATGTCCCTTTCGCACCTTTCACGATCCTCTTTTGAGCATTTTGTGATGTTCTTGAAGAACATTTCCAATCTGCTCATACGTTGGCCTGTTACGGCCATAACGAGATTGAACAGCCAGGTCCAATTCTGGGCCTTGAATCCGGGTTCTCCGACTGCGAGCGCTACAGTCTCGACAATATTGATGAGAACCTGGTTTGCAAACTCGATATCTTTCTTGCGCAGGGCTGATGTGAACGACACAATAGCTTCAGGTGAGCTGACACGTTCATCTGGCATGGCACCTAGAACTTCTTCAATCTCCTTCGTCTTGAAGACCTTCACACTGAACAAGCTATGGCTTGTGAGAGAGTCCTTGATGAAACGCCGTGACCAGATAACAGTGTCGTTCAGAGTCTGTAGGTCCCCCACAGCGACGCCGAGGTTCAGAGCAGCTCTCGACCAGTATGCCCGCTCCACAGCTTCACGAGCCCGTTGAGCATTGGCTTTCCGCTCGTTTATGAGGCCAATGGCGCGATCAAGCCATCCATGGTGCTCATCTTGTGTGTTCGATTTACGGATCAGCAACGCCCTTACGATCTCGACGTCTCCAAAGCCGCTATGTTTGATATGTCCCTGCGACTGATTGAGTATTGTTCCACTCTGATTCGCAACTTGGAGGAAGTTGTTCTTGGGAAACAGGCTTTCTAGCTTTTCAAAAAGTTGTAGTGACTTCTTGTAATTGATGGTGAAGAACAGGTCTGAAGGCCAGGCTCTTTCAGGAAGATCCTTGAGTCTGGCCATATCTTGTTCCGAGTCACTCTCGATGTCGATTTTATAATTTTTGTGATGCTGGATGAAAAGGCGAAATAAGTCATATCTGCCATCGATATCTAACTCCCAAGAAACCCACAAAGTTTGACGTATTCTCTCCAAGTCGATGGGTGGTTTCTCGCTCGGCAATAGCTGGATTGCCTGTACCAAACAATCTTCATATTGTCTCTTGCTTTCACTGCCATCGGCAGCCTTGGCCCATCGATCGACAATATACTGAAGCAAGCCACCTTGTCTGAGAACAAGCTGCTGGGAAAGCTCTCCGTGTTTTTGGGTACATTCGAGTACGAGGCTGAGATATTTGATGCGTTTCTCGTCGTCGTATCTGCTTTTGAGAAGGCGCTTGAGAACAGGCATAGCCACTTCATCTATTAAATCAGATGGGACATGGATCTTGCCGCCCTCTTTTGCGAGGAGGGTCGTCAATATCCTCTCGCAAAAGGCGATATTGCCGCGAAGGAGTCTCCTATGCTGATAAAATCTGACATCTTTATCCTTGCAGAAGATCTCACTGAGGAATTTATCCTCGTGTTGCTCTCGATGGCCTAGAAAGAGTCGTTTGTTCTGTGGAGCAGTCCACTCAATCTTCTTATCCTTCTCAAACTTCTCTATCAGCTCAAGGTTGCATGCAGGAACTATATCTTGATAGAAGCTGGTCAGAGGCCTGTCATCTTCTCGCCCCTCGTAGAGTATCGTGACCAAGTTTCCAAGAGCAGCGCGCCTTTGGGGCTGTGCCTTCTCAGCTGAAGCGGTCGAGCCAAGACGCTTGCACATATCACGCACGTCTCGGATGCTGAACTCGGCCATCAGGCGGGCCAGTCCTGAAGCTCCTCCGGCAGCATTCCATGCTTGCTGGAAGCGATCTTCACGTCGTAAGGCTTTTGTGAATTGGCGAATAGTAAGCTTTCTTTTGATGGCACTTTCGGTTTGGCGGAGATCGTTTATAATCTCTGATTCATTGCGGCGCGTCATTTTAGTGAAGATAAGATGTAATTGTCGTTGAGATGATGTTTTGTTGTAAGATGAAGCACGAGAGCGGTGACTTAAATAGTGTCAGCTCAGCTACTGACTGCCATTAGATGCAGCAGCCTAAGACGGAAAAGCGTCCGGCGAGACCAACAAGGAAATACCCGAGCGACTAAAGTAAGAATTAGCAGCAGATCTTTTGAACAAGCCAATAGCCATTTGCTTCCATTCCCAGCTTGGAAGTGTCTCACTATTTCGTCTCCATAGACCTCCACAAGGTTCTATCTCGATGATCAGATTGGATCATAATGCCAGGATGATTCTCTAACTAGTCTCAACTTGTGCTATTTCGAAAGATATAATTGGGTTTTCGCGGATTCTATGGGATCATCATGTTGTGATACTCCACTTGTTGGATCGGCGTATGACTGATGTAGCTGAAGTGGTGGGGTGCAGTGGCAACAGGTTATCTCGACTTGCAAACATCAAGGTCAAGCTTACATTGAAAGTATTTTCTTTTGAAAACTAAAGTCCTACCGTAGCCCAATCCATGCTGGATCAGATTCAAGGATAATCCCTTTGCTAGTACTCATAGGCTAACATGGCACCTTGGCATACAGGATGCCAACCACCGTCGTGTAAGTCCAAGTTAGAGCAACTCATCCAAGATGTGGCAAAGCATAAAGATATCTTTGAGTACAGATTGGATCTGTTTCAATCCTATTCCAAGCCATGCGGCTTTGTTACACAAAATCATGCTATTAAGCTTTTATCTTGCGGTTTACATCTTGTTTGACAGTCCCTCCGAGACCATTCTTACCATTGGAGCCACCAGTTGCCTATGCCTCATCCATATCTGTCAATTAGAATTAAGAAAACAGTTTGCTTGATAATGAGCACCTATGCTCGATAAGACCAGCAAATAAGGACCGAGTGTTTGCGAAGGACACTGGAAGATCTATAGAATCGCTATTGCTTCATGTGCACAAACAATCCAGCATCTTTGTATGAAACATCTGTAGTCTCGCTTCTCTATTAATTAAGTAAAACTATCTGCCTACTTGCCCGATATGTTTCAAAGCCTCAGATGTTTGCCCTTTTTCTTGCGTTCCCAGGTATGTTTGGTGAAGTTGACCTTTATCATCATCACAGTTGCAGGAAACATTCAGCCATTAGTACACTTAAGAGCTCGAGAAAAACCTTTGTTTGTTTATCTGTTAAATTTTCTAGTAAATGAAAAAGCCAAAGGAAGCTAATGCCTACAGTGATTCATAACCCAGACATACGCAAGCGACACTGCTCGCCACTGCAGGTGTTCCTGTGCTTTAAAACCCCTGACTTCATCCCTTTTTCTTCTCTTCTCTTTAAAACCCACACAACTCTTCAACTCCGATAATTTTCACCGAGTGCTTGCAGACTCTTGCTCAATATTGTCTCGCCATCTTCCAACTGCCTAACCATGTCGTCCTCGGGGCAAGTGACGTGGTGGGGTGATGGTCATTGGGCTGTCAAAGATTCCGACAGTGACAGTGTCGATAGCAACGGTATCTTACTTTGTTTCCCTTATATCCAATGCTAGTGATGGCTAACCACAACATCTAGTTCACGTCGGCGAAATTGGACATATCTGCGAAGTCAGAGATGCCTTTGCCGAATTCAACAAATCTGGCGACTTGGTCAAATGGCTCGACGAGATCCCCGACAAGAGCACTGACCTCGACGAAGAAGAGCTAATCCGTAAAGCCAAACGGATTCGCGATACTTATGCTATCGTCTGTGGTCGCTACCCAACCAAGGAAAATACCTGGGAGGTTCGAGCCATCTGGGTCAACAACCCCATTCTACAGGATATTCTACGAAATATTTCCGTAGATCCCGATTGGAGCTCCAGCGCTAAAAGTATCAAGTTTGAGAGGCCGTTTGCCTCTTTGGTTCATCACTGGGATCAATTGTGCGAGTTAGCAGTCGCCGATGCTGGTTCCGAGACCCAGAGATTCATGAAATTATTCGTGAATCTACTCAGGGGTCAACTGCGAGATACTCTCATCCGAGTCAAGAAGATCATGAAGACTGGATGTGCTGCTTTCTATGACCTTCAATTTGTTTTCAAGCCTGGTCAGCTCTTCTTTGACTCCTGCCCTCACATGGGCGCAGGCGTTTGCCAGTCTTACGAGCATGGTGAGGTTACAGTCGATCAAGTTGTGTGGAAAGGAGAGGAGTATCGTTTGGCCAAGTCGACCTTCAATCTCCCCAGCTTCTCAGGCATTCGGCCATCTCTGAACTCAGCGTCCGACCAGCATGGGCCTGTTCAGAAGATGACATCAAGAGCATGAAGGCTGCTCTCGTCGAACGTGGCCGCAAGTATGAAGCACTACGAGGTATTCATTTCCGCTTTTATCCCGGTATTATCGGAAAAGAGCACACTCATTGTGAAGCTGTGGTGGTAAGATGCTCAGTGAGCTTGTGATGTAGAGAAACTTATTAACCATCGAGTAGTCTGAATGGGACGATGTCAGAATTCCAAGCCTCCCTAATCGAGCGGTAAGGCTTCGAGATATGCTTGGAGCGGTTGTATACTGACAGAAAACCTAGATCGCAGGACGGGTGATCGTCGATGCGGGGATTCAAGATAAGGATGAGGCTAAATTTTCCTACCCTCTGTCCAGTCTTCCAATCGACAGTGCAATGTACAGGAGCGGACAATATTCTAAGGACTCTACTTCTAGTGGCCACCAAGAGTCACACGAATTGAGTGATTGGGAGGACGAAGAAGTCGAGGATCCCAATCGCCTCACGGATGAGCAGGCTATGATGACTGTTTCAACCGTGAAATGTTTCTCGATCGAGAACAAGGCGTGGTGTAAGCTCACATGCACAAAGATACTCATGCATTTATGTTAACATCCTGTGCTAGGTACGGCCCAGGTGGACGATCTCAAAGACATTGAGTGGAACACTCAGGCCTTTGACAATCTCGTCATCGATGAAGCAGAGAAGAGACTCCTGGTCGGCTTTGTAGGAGCAGCAACAAACGGAAAGTTGCAGGATTTCGACGACTTTGTCGATGGAAAGGGTTCGCTTCTCCTCACCGACGGTTAGTCATGAACTGACATTAGTCACAGGAAAGGGTCTTGTCATGCTCTTGTGTGGTCCCCCGGGTACGGGAAAGACACTCACTGCAGAATCTGGTTCGTTTCGGTGATTTTCAACAAATGGGGTCTTTGCTAATGGAAGCATAGTCTCCGAAAATCTCAAGCGCCCTCTATACCGCGTTGATACTTCGGACCTTGGGATGGATCCCAAGACCCTGGAGAAGAATCTCAAGACTGCTCTTGATCGCTGCGCCCGCTGGGATGCCATCCTCTTACTTGATGAAGCAGATGTGTTCCTTGAAAAGCGCACCAGCAGCAATCTTACACAGAACGAGATGACTACCAGTAAGTTACTCCCTGTGGTTGTTGTGAACCTGTCTGACATGCTTCCTAGTCTTCCAGGATCTTGAGCCAGCCTCCCGAGCCAAGGTCTGGTACAACTTTCTTATCAGAGAGGACAAGGCGTTGGCTGGAGACAGAGATGCGATTGCGAAGCTGGCCAGCATGCCTCTGAATGGCAGACAGATCAAGAGCGCCGTCAAGACTGCTCGAATCCTGGCTGCCAGCGAGAACTTGCCTCTTGCAGTTGATAATTTGCAGACGGTTGTTTTCATGCGAATGAAAGCATTGAAGATGCTGGAGTAGGTCGGACGATCAAAGCCCTAGCAAAGGTCTGGCATTCTAAGTATGAGGATAATCCTCTGACTCGGACATGGCCTCGTACCGACCGCTGAACTATAGTGGTTGGTGAGATTTTTTGGTGACAATCTGCAATCAAGGCAGCATGAAATTGAGGTGATGAGTGGAAGGCATGTCTCACTGTGGTGAATAGTTAAAAGGCAGCTTCACAAAGGGGATAACTTAAATAGCATTCACATCAACAAGGAAAGGATTGACTTGTTAGAACATGATAGGTTTCGTGATCATTCAGGTGCTGTCATCATCTAATCGTACATTGTCTGTTTTCGCTCATGCCTGTGAGCTCGCGTGGTCCTCGACACCATTTTAAGCCCCATACTTCTTGTCCTTGTCGGAGATGGGAAATTCGCTGCCTGTGGCGCTCTTGTACTGGTCGCGAATGGCATCAGAAATAGCCTCGTCCTTGGCCTGTTCAGCGGCGCTCTCGTTGCTTTGGTCGCCTCCGCCGAGGAACTTTTCCTGCACAAAGTCGACGGCTGCAACGGTTGTTAGTACAGAAATACGTAGGAAGTTGATGTAGATAATTACTCTTGTCAAGGGCATCCTCGTTCTTCTCGCCCTGCGCGCCACCGCCAGCCATTCCATTGACCTTGTCCATGAAGCTACCGCCAGCCTCGGGGGGAGCTTGCTGGCCCTCGGTGCTGTTGTTGGCGTTGTTGTTGCCACCAGCGAGGTTCTTGACGAAATCCATGACGATAGTTTGATTCTGGAGTTTAAAGTTGTAATTTGTGATTTGTGATGTTAGGATGATGAGTATGAAGATGGAAAGATCAAGAAGTGGACGAGATCTTCCCTTTTATACAACTAGGTAGTCACACTATACATCAGGCGGGGGAAGGAACAATTCTTGATTCACTCACTGTATGGCAAGGGAAACCACTGACGCAACTAAAAACAAGGACATGTACGTGAGACCGGGGGACTTGTACTTTCACAGCTGAAAAATGATGTGCAGTGACGTTGACACCAAAATGTATTGGTGGACAGCTCGACAGGGATTGACAGACCAAGATAAGGTGCGGCGGTAGCATAAAGCTTAAGCTCGCGTGCCAAGTTCTAGGGTGGTAGACCGCCTGGAGCGTTGAACTAGAGCCCTGATGCGGGGTAGTCTTTGCCAAGACTGGGCTCTCTACTCTACTCCGCAGCTGGGTCAACCTTGTGTTGGTGATGATATCACAGGAAGTACATAATCGTTAGATATGCATAGCACGCATGTTTGAATAGAATGTGTAGCGTTATTGAAACAAATGGGTATCATAAACATAAACTCAGTCTCTGCCTCCCCTCCATCACCCTTGCCGATTGATGCCCAGTTACGCCCGGAATCTCTCAACCATCGCCGTTTTTTGTTGTCGTATCGTCGTGACTTTTTCCATGCGTCAGCGTAAATATATTTCTTTCATCTCATCGTAAGCTCGTAAGTTGTGGTGTTTATTTCTAGTCCCGGGTATACATCCCATTGGCGTCGATGACAGCCTGACATCGGTGAGGCATGCTCTCGATGAGCGCTTTCATGTTCTCCTGAGGTATGCTGTTCCAGGTGGCTCGGACAACTTGTCGGATGCGCCATTCGGCGACCTCGCCGTAAAGAGATCGGTCCTTGTCATTCTTGAGATTAGCCTTGACCCAGTTGAATATCTGGGTGATGGGGTTCAGGTCGGGTGAGGCGGGAGGGAAGTGCTCGGTGGGCATAGATCGTCCTCGCATCTCGTCCTTGACGGCAACAGCAGCGTGGGCACACATATCTGGACGCATAGCAAAGCGAGATCCAGAAGGCTGATCGTCAATCCACTTGGAGAATGCCGGAAATATGACCTTGTAGTGATTCACGGGACTGAGGGGCCCGAACTTGTTGTCCGCATCGCGACTCCAAGCAATAAGAGGACCTTTGCCAGTAAGACCTGAAAAGTGGGCGAAGTACAGTTCACTATCGTTGCAGGTTGCCGGCTCGGCAGGCATATCGTTGATGCAGTCAAGATGGTATTCCTCTTCCGACTGTCGAATGACCAACGGTTTGTGTGCGTTTGTAAAGGAAATGCGGACTTCCGCAGTGAAGAGAACCTTGTTCCATTGCTCGGCAGTCCAGTTGACATGTTGTAGAGCGAATTCAAGTCGAAGCTTTCGGGTTTCTTCGCTAATGTAAGGACGAATGATGGCCGGGTACAACTTGTACCCGTAACGACCGAGAGCATTGCGAATGGCGATGTCAGAACTTTCCAATCCGAGGGCAGCAGCAATCTTGGAGAGGGGCATACGACGGGCATGGGGAGAAGACTTGACGAACTTGACAAGCTCTCGGGCTTGAATTATAGTAGGTACTGGAGGTCGGGCGTCGGTGCAAGAGGGCTTGTCAGATATTTGACGAGCTTTGACACGAGTCGCAGCACGAGTTAGAGGCTGAGTCCAGTTGACGCTTCGAGCGATAGCCTGCTTAGACAGTCCCTGGGCGTGAAATTGGACAGCATGGGCTCTCTGATGGCTGCTAGGGAGGCAAGAAGCACGCAAGAGTTGCTCAGTCTGCATGACAACTTTCAGATGTTCTGGGTCACTGCCAGCAAGTTGAGATTTGGAACTGGAGAAGTGCTTGATTGAACTCTTGACCGCATCAAGCTTGGATGCGTTGACATCTGCAAGGGCGTCACGAGCGGCAAGCTCATGTTCGATCTTGGAGACAGTGCTGAGAATAGATTCGAGGGCTGAAGCCATTGTGAAGACAATGGAGAGAACAGCAAAGATTGTCGAAAGAGTTGCGGGAAAACGTGAATGTGACTTGATTGTTGGGTCTGATTGTCCTGAGAGCAAAGATCGAAGACAATGGTACTGCACAGCAAAATGGTTTGATGTGACTGAAGAAGAATCGCAAGAGAGAGCTTGGGGCTGGGGCCTATAGAGGAGGGGTGTCATTAGTGAAGGGTTTAATGGATGAGAGCTCTGGGCCAATGAGATGAACCATGTCAATAAAGCTCAAAGAAGACGTCTCCACTTCTAACAGCGACCAGACTGTGAGTATTGAGGCGGTGCCTCCATTTCTGTGGCTTTGCGGGGTCCTTTTCTGGCCGGTTGACTCAAGCTTTGGTGGGGCGCAGAGTCTATCGCTATGACGCAGACGCTTGGCCTCAGTTGGGCTGTTGAAAAGTTCAAATATCGCGACAGAGACGTCAGTCCAGTACAACTCCAATTCGTCCGCTAGACTCTCTATACGCAAAGAATCACATACCTCAGTCGCAATGGCTAAGACGAACGAGGATCTTCTTCGGCGGCCCTTGTATCGTATGTATTCGTCCCAAACCCCTACCCCGCCATGTATCGGCGTGTCTCGATGTCGCAAAGTGCTGACGAGTTGAACAGTTTATGATCTACCTGCCGAAGTTTTGGACACTTTGGTGCTCAAATCCGATACAGACGCCGAAGCCGAAGCTATCGCTGCCGCCGAATCCACGAGAACACCTTCCGAGAGCGCGTCGTCGCCAGATACAAACCTTGTCGGGACGCAAGCGTGCTCCTTGTGTGGCCTCACATTCACCACAGTGATAGATCAGCGGGGACACCTCAAGTCTGATTCTCACCACTATAATCTCAAGCAAAAACTGCGAGGTCAAAAGCCCGTGTCAGAGACAGAATTCGAGAAGCTCGTTGGCAACCTAGACGAATCATTGTCAGGTTCTGATTCAGACGAGTCGGAAGAAGAAGAGGAAGATGGCCGACAAGATTCAACATTGACTGCGCTGCTGAAGAGGCAGGCGAGGTTGGCTGATAAGGCGAATGATTCAACAGGAGATGATGAGGATGAAACGGGAGGAAAGCCAGGTCGTGGCAAACCACCTCTGGTATGGTTCAGCTCTCCACTGCTTCCAGAGAAGACTTACTTCGGCATGTACCGCGCAATCTTGACGGGCGAGGAACAAAGAAATCAGGATCTGGTAGAGGTGTTAAAGAAGAAGCAGGTCGAGCCCATATCCATGCCCAAAATACCTAAGGAGGGCGCTTTACCAGAGGTCGCGTACAAGGGTCCTCATATCTTTCTCTGTATGATTGGAGGTGGCCACTTTGCGGCCATGGTTGTTTCTCTCGCCCCACGCCCCAATAAGAACGGCACAACCATGAATCGAGAAGCGACGGTGCTTGCTCACAAGACCTTCCATCGATACACAACCCGACGAAAGCAAGGTGGTTCTCAATCGGCCAACGATAATGCGAAAGGTGCTGCTCACTCGGCTGGTTCAAGTTTGCGACGATACAACGAACAGGCTTTGGTAGAGGATGTGAGAACCCTTCTCCAAGAATGGAAGGCCCTCATCGACACTTCAGAGTTACTGTTCATCCGAGCAACAGGTATGACAAACCGAAGAACGCTTTTTGGTCCCTACGAGGGACAGGTGTTGAAGCATAATGATACTCGACTGCGGGGCTTCCCCTTCAGCACACGGCGAGCGACGCAGAATGAACTTATGCGATCCTTCATCGAGTTGACGCGACTAAAAGTCCGTGAGATCGAGCCTGTGCAGGAACAGAAGAAAGACTCTGGGTCAGCGACTCCGACAAAGACAAGTGCAAAGCCTTCAAAACCGAAGTTGACAGAAGAGGAAGAGACTGCTCTACTCCACACATCTCAACTTCAAGCGTTTGTACGGAGGTCAAAAGTCCCTGCGCTACTGTCATACCTCAAGAACAACAACATATCGGCCGACTTTGAGTTTCAGCCTGTGGAGCAAAACCATCACGCACCGCGACCACTCCACCTCGCCGCGGCTCAAAACGCTGCGCCCTTAGTACTCGGCCTTCTTGTTCGCGGTGGAGCAGATCCTACAATAAAGAACAACGATGGCAAGACGCCCTTCGAACTGGCTGGTGAACGCTCGACGCGTGATGCGTTCCGGGTCGCTCGCTCCGAGCTCGGAGAGTCCAAGTGGTCGTGGGATGATGCAAAGGTACCGCCAGCCATGACCAAGGCTGAAGCTGATAAGCGTGACGAGAGAGAAAAGAAGGAAGCTAGTGACAAGGAGGCTGAGCGTCGGCGCGCTGAGGAGGAGCGATTACAGGTTGAAGGTCCAAAGGTTTCAGAAGGACGAAAACAGAAGGGAAATGCTCTGGCGGCGGGGTTAAAGAAGACACCACAGGAGAGGAGAGAGGCTGAAGAGAGAGGGTTAACTCCTGAGATGAGGATGAGATTGGAGCGTGAGAGGAGAGCACGAGCTGCGGAGGAGAGATTACGGAGGATGCAAGGAGGTGGATGAGCTTGAGTGCTACAATAGACCAATACTCGGAATAGACTAATACCACTGCATACTACATCCTAGTTCTACTGCATCGATGCATTTCAGACGTTCATAAGTGTTGGGAGTTTTTGCCACTTTCGTGAGCTTAGCTAACCAGCACAGTCAAAGAAGACGAGCTACCATGGTGTGTTCTCATCGTCAACTTTATTATCTTGGGCTCACAACTCATGACGATAATGAATAAGAACACATTCAGAGTTGATTTAATTAAATAAACTGGACCTTGTGCAAATGAGGAATTTGATTGATGTTACTCGCTTAGATCAGTAAAGCCTTTCTTTATATATACCTGCATTCTAGTTTAACTTGACCGTTGTAAATCCCAACTCTAAAAGACCTTACATTATGTACGACTATCGCAACCTCTTCAGTCAATCTCGATAACCTTATCAAACCTTTCTACATGGCCTTTATGAGCACATCACGTGGGCTTTCCATTTCCAAGTCAGTTGTTACATTCGCTGCAACTCAAGCAAGCCCAGCTTCTTGAGGTAAGATGCCAACAACTGTCCATGGATAGAGTCTTCAATCTGAACACACACTTTCATACCATTGTTCAAGGAAAGTTCCGCGTTCGGCACTTCAATCCATTGCACGGGCGGGAGTGAGACTCTATCAGACAAACCTCTGGCCATGGAGAAAATTACCTGCACCCATCCTGCCTCATGGTGAATAATGACACGCACGGCGATATCATTCCTTGTGTTGGCCAGAATAGGCTCGACGGAGCGGACGGTGTAGATTCCTCCTGCACTCCAAGGACGATGCTCAATGAGATGGGTGTTGGGGGGGATCTCGAGTGGTTTGAGAAAGCGAGAGAGGGTTCCGGTGATGAAACGGCATACTTCATCCTTTTTCGTGAGAATGGTGATGCCATCTGGTTTTCTCACCTCAGTCAGAGACGCCTTGCTCTTGGGTCGTTCATATTGGTCCCTGAAACGAACCTGTTTGCGTGTCTTGATTGCGGCCATAATGAAGATTGCTATGTGGGTTAGTTTTCTCGTGTTGTCTTCAGTTTGGTCGCTATAAAGCAACTCTCAATGTCACACAATTTCTACCAAAAGAGTGATCAAGGAGGAGGATCTGGGTTTTTTATACATCTTCATTCTTAGTTGTTCATAAGTTGGTTCATTGTCCCGAATGACAGTAACCATGTTCGCAGCTCAGTACATGTATGATGCTAGGTGCTGGGTGCTGGGTATGAACAAAGACTTATCCTGACAAGACCAACTTTGGCTGTATAAGTGTCTGACGCTAAACCGTACAGTCTTATGGCTGCTAGTTCTGTAAGAAAGAGCCATAATTCAATCATGTCTGTTCAGATGGTGTTTCAGACTCAAGCAAGCGTTGAGGATTGCCTGTGTTGATCGTTCATTCTGAGCTCCCAAGTGCTCACTCTAGCCCCTTCAAGGCTTGATAGTTAGTTACGGTGTGGAAGACCTGAAAAGGAAGAGTCAACAGACAACATGTAAATTATATCAGATTTGAGGATTGCATGGCACAATATTGACTCCTTTTCACTTATGGATGACGACGGCCTATAAGGTCAAGCTTTTGGCTGCGAACACAGATAATGAATGACAACACGATATTTCCCCCCCCCGATATAAGCTTTCACAATGGACTCCTTTTTCACGGATCCAAAGATATTCATAATGTTGAATTTTATTTTATTTTCGTTTCGCGCGTTGTAATCAGCGTCGACAATTGACAACACTCTAGGTTAGCAGATTGACCTCTGCTCTGCCCTGATATTGGAATGATCGACCAACAACGTCCTATCGGTCGACCCAGATCCGCCCAAAATTCCCTCGATCCGAAATGCTGCATAAATTACATCGTCTTGTGTCTTGTAGCTCCACGAGAGACTCTTTCTGCACATCTTGGACATGGCGTAGCTACCAACACCACAATCTGCGTCGGCGAGCAATGTCTACAAACACCACAGATCTCCCAACCTACGAGCTCTACCATAATGTCGAATATATTGACAGATACTGCCCTGGGGGATATCATCCCATCGAGGTCAACGACAGACTAAACCAGCGATACCACATCGTTGATAAGCTGGGCCAAGGCGGTTATTCGACTATTTGGCTTGCCCGCGATGAGGAGCTCAACAACTATGTTGCCATCAAAGTCGGCACCGCTGATCAAGTCTCGAAAGAGAGCGTTATTCTTCTCAAACTGGCTGGCAATCCCACCAACGAGTTCTCTGGTCAACTCATCACTCAAGTACTGGATCATTTCACACGGCACACATCCTTGCATTGTCACTGCATCCGCCAGATGTAGCGTTGCCGAGTCGATCAAAACTTCGAGATACAACTCATTCCGACGTGGCGTAGCCAGGGCACTGGCTGCCCAGCTCATCTTGGCAACGGCATACGTCCACCGGGCTGGCTTTGTTCACGGTGGTAAGTACCAAACCCGCGTCTTTGGGTCGCTCAGACGACATCTGATGGTATCTAGATATTCATCTAGGAAACGTGCTGCTCCAATTGCCTGGATCAGAGCTCGATCATCTCTCCATCCAACAGGTCTATGAGAAATACTATGAACCAGACCCTTACCCAGTGACTAGGACTGATGGTCAGCCGGTCACCTCACCGTCAGTGCCAAAGAATGTATATACACCGAACTGGCTCGGTAAACCTAGCGACGAGGTTCTGTTGCCTGAAGCCAGGCTGTGGCTCGCCGATTTCGGAACAGCCTTCAACCCTTCGCAGGAGACGAGACTGCTGTCTTACACGCACTTGCAGAATCGACCCCCAGAAGCAGTGTTTGATTCCACGAAGCCTCTGACATTCTCCTCTGATATCTGGAGCCTGGGACTTATGGTCTGGGAGTGCATGGGTTCCGGGCCATTTATGGGCGGCTTTCTCTTTGATGAGGACGAGGTGATCGCTGACCGGGTCGACGCGCTCGGTCCCTTACCCCACGAGTGGTGGGAGAAATGGGAGACCAGAACAAACGTATTGACTGAGGACGGACAACGAAAGGGGGGGATAGAGACGTGGCCGCTCCAGAAACGATTCGATCTGGATATACAAAGAGAAACAAAGGCAGAAAAGTTGGATGATCAAGAGAGCCGTGCCTTTTTAGATATGGTTAAAGGGATGCTGCGCTTCAGACCAGAAGAGCGTATGACAGCTGATCAGGTTCTGCGATCGGAGTGGATGAGTAAGTGGGCTCTACCCCTTGCAGAGAAAGCTTGGGAGCGTAAACTCTTGGACTGAAGGGGATCTGACAGGAGAAACTCATTGTTTGAAAATGAGTTCGATAGTTCCGATGTTGATTTAGCTTTCATTGTTAGTGATAGACAGACTAGAGCACCCGTGATTTACTAGACACCATGAGGAGAGATCAGGAAAGGTGAATCAGTTTGATACCCAGTATCTAGGGGTACTTCTCTTGACAGATACCTCTCCGAGGCAAGTGAAAGGCCAAGTGAAAGTTCTTTAACTTCTTCTTACATCCCCTCCAAGCCAACAAGCCAGTGTTTGACTTTTTTCAGCTTTAATATCGCCGTTTCGAATATAAAATGGCCAATGCGTGTTCTCAATGCTCAACTCGTTGAGAAAGTCTATAATATGGGATCTTGTGCTCAAGTGGCTCCTATGGTGAAACTGGCCCCGTCAACTCTTAGAATAGTCACTGGCTATCACACGGAAGCCTCTGTTTGCTTTTGTGAAGCATTTGCCTTCACTCTCGGCAGGCTTTGATCACTTTACCTATCACAATTGTCTAGTGACTTAGCTATACGCGGATTCAGTCGGAACCTCGCAGTTCGCGGTAAAACTTTCGGCCTGTGATTGCTTAACCCCGTTGTTGACCGGAAGAACGACCAGGTTGAATGAGCCCGGTGAGAATTCCACCACTCAGCTCGGAAGTAACGCAGGGAAATGGAAACTTCCCAAACTTCACAGCCACCTCCTAACTCCCCGAAGTGGAAACGGAATCAGCCAGGTTCAGGTTTGCACAACCCGATGCAGCATCACTCCGATCCCCAAATGGACGGAACTCGGAGGTTAAATGCAGGTACGCTCGCAAGTCTGAACCGTTGTTGGGTCTTGTGAGCTCAATCAGGGTTGGTGGATTGGATGTGAATTCTCATAGAAACCTTTGGTTCCCCTGAGAGGTTGTAAAGCTACCGACATACCCATGCAAGTGCTTGCAAGGAAACTGACAAGTGAGCCAACTGAAATGTAACAGCAAACACACATGCCAGCTAGGCCAAGACAGGACTCTGCTCGATACTAATGTGATGGCTGGATGGAGGGTCTTTTTCTCTCGGCTGGACCGAGCTGCTGTGAGCCTGTGAGGCGAGTCAGCTCTGATCCGTGCAAGCTGTAGACAGTCTATGAAACGCCCGGAGGCCAAAGAATAACGCTTGGATATGACGATCAGTGGAGTCATTTGGTGCAAGGTGATCGACCTGGACAAGAAATTCATGGTCTAATCGATCGAAGATGAGGTGACTGACGATCAGCATGTTGCTGCAAAAATAGGCTGAGCATAATTTTACCTTATTTGCTCCGGGATACAATAGAAGCACAATATCGTAAAAACGTACGACCAGTCTGATCACCCAAAATTGGGTGCCTCGATCGAGAGTCGCTCTCAAGGTTGTGTCTAGCCATTAGTGACAATTAATTGGCGTTACGAAAAAAGAAAAGAACCATGTCGCCTCAACGTTCAAAAGCAAGATACAACTACGTACCGTTTGTGTAGTGCCTGGCAGATCGCAAGTTTCATCCAAAGCCACCATGGCCGTAACTCGAAACACGGAACGACAAGAAGAGAAAACGCTAAGTCGAACCTGGCAGGACAATCGAACTAGTCTCGGCCGGGATCTCCCCTGTCCGTCCCAAGAACAGGCGTTGTAACGCTGCATCGTTCTGTCCTCAGGGGTCTTCAGGGCATCGTTACATTCTATGATGGTTCGACCTTATTCCGCGAGCCTGGGCTTTAGGCAACTGAATGTGGCATCCAGAACAAGCTAGACAGGCTATTAACAATATGACAACCCCGGGTTAAAGTCGAAACGACAATGGCGAGGATACATCGTCAAGATTACCGACAGTTTTCGCGATTTTGTCAGGAGTACCAGCACAGCGACTGCATAGAAATCTCGAGTTGCTTATTGGTTTAGCGATTCTTCGGAATATCGTATTTCGTCTTTGTGAACATGAGACGTCGTTTCTTTTTTTTTTTTTTTGGGCGGGAATACCACCACGGAGAAACATTTAAGCTAAATAATAGGCGATGGACGGGCCCCATCAGTGTGACAGTGTCGATTGATAGCGCACGGAGGCTAGCCGCTAATTGATCCATGACGTGAGCAAGCCACTGGGAGCTTTCATCAATAGTGCCGTTGATCTCAAGTGCGCAGAAGTTGGTGGAGTGCGGTGTCGAAATGCTGTAAGCGATTGTTGCTAGTCATTTGAACAAGTCTGTATCGGTAAACGAATGCTTACAAGCCATGACTGGCTCGCCACTCGATGACAGACTGCAGGCTGCCATATGTTGCGAATGGCTGCTCAAGCTGCCCTTTTCGTCATCCTATATTCTGAATGAAACAATCAGTGCACTTCCCGATTCGGTGTTGGCCAAGTAAGCATAGTTTCAAGGTTGGTAACTCAAACCTTGAGACTGTAAGAGCAAACAGTAATTACTCTCATTAGAGCTCTATTTAGCACAGAATATTGCAACGTAACTGGTAGAAGATTCAGTTGGCTGTTGAAGACATCCCAATGAGACCCTGACTTTAACAATTGATTCCATACCTAGTGGATCACATCGTGTCTGGATGTCGTTTGGCTTCGATTTCAGCTGCAGTCGATTACTTTTCTGTTTTACCAAAAGCTACCCGGGACTTCATGATTGCCAAACAAACAAGCATTTGCCGATCGTTCCGGACTTGGGAAACACCGGACGGGTAGGCTCGCAATATTTTGACCCGAGAGTCCTGTTTAGTCGCTTTTCCCTTGCGAGCTCTCTTTTGGGATGCTTTCAGGTCCAGAATAGGATCTGGCCCTCGGGGGGCAAGAAAACACCGAATCTTGATATAAGGTGATAAAATAAACTTAGCAAAGAGTACCCTAAGCTTAGGCTAAATTTACCTAAATATTTTTATCACTTAGGGTCAAGGTCTTGAGTTTTCTTTCCTCCCCTAGTCTGGTAAGGTTGGGAAGGGGAAAAAACCTCGGAGGGTAGTAGGGCTGCAAGGCATCGGCGTCGTCTCAGATCTGTAGCTCAGTAATTGATGATTGGCTGCCCTGATGTTGAAACAGACTAGGGCGGCCTGTTCCTGAGACTCCTTGGCGTCAAACACACGCGCCCAGGGTCTGTCTCGCCATGCTACTGGACGGGTGGTGGCGCTCGGTGCTAAAAATGAGCACCTGTGCTAAAGATAGAGATGGAAGCTGGGTAGCCACGAGACCATTCGGCGTTGGTAATTCTGGCTAATCTGGTTATCTTCGGCATGATGAAAGGAATCGCGGAGAGCCAATGCTGTCCATGACACATTTTCTTACCCTATTGTGATTCTTATGCATAGATTTTGAGTGGTACGCAAGCGCCATGTTTCGTAGTCCATCACAAGCACTCAGTAATAAAGTACCCAGAAGACTTGGGGATAGTCTAGCCTCAAGGAAGACCAGTAATCCAATCAGAACACTATAGGTGGTGAATTGAGATCTTTCGTCCTGTTCAGAGCTATCACAGCAAATGAGGCCCAGAGATGATGCACAAGCAAGGCGATTCAATCTTTCAATCAGGCCATCAGTCACGCCAAGCCTGCGTTTGGCCGTGTTAGCCAGATCCATGATCACTTATTCCACAAACCTTGTCCGTTATAGCTGGCCTGCTTCCGTGATTTGCATCCCCGTCAAGTCCGGTGGAAACGGTGGATTTGTGGACAGGCTCTCCAATATCTCCGTTCTCCTATCAATTGGCGAGATGCTGCCAAAAGGGAAGTGGACCAAGTCCCTTGGTGTTGTAATCTCCTTTGACGTAGTAATCCGCGTCTGAACCATACAAGTAATTGTTGACATGCTCAAGGTGTAAGGTTTACTCAATCGTGGTTTCTTCGGAAGCCTGCTGTAGATCCACGGAGAGGAGCAAGTGCGACGGTTAATCACACGGTAATGTTATTTTTAGGATGAGTCAAGAAACAATCTCCATTCTTGATAATGGAATCGTGATAAATAGTAATCACCAGCATCGCTTTGCTGTTGTTAAGATGGAAGTGATCCTTCTTAGGTACCTACCTAGATCAGAGGACGAGCACGTAACCTGGAATTTTCCCAGTAGTGAGGTCGGTAACGGTCTGACTGCAAGCGACGATGCCTTGGCACCTTCCATCTGTCACGACCAACCGTCAGTGGCTTGCGGTGGCGGTCTGGGGAAGCAGCGCCGGACCACGATGCTCCCATCAAGAGAAAAATCCGAACAAAAACAAAAGCAAGTGCCTTCCATATCCTGACCCAGCATCTTTAGTGGCTCGCCCAAACGGCCAATTGGCAACCGCCAGGGCACCAAGCAAGCGCTGCTGCGCGATTGGCGGATATGGTGCCTGTACCTGTACCTGCAGAAGCCTGTGCGGGACGTTAACGGGTCCGGGCCATCGATGCCCCTGATCCTTCTTAACATGTTCTAATATGGTGGCGCAGCGTTTCATTCATCAGTTGCACTTGCCCATTCGTAGAGGTGGATGGTACCCAAGAAAAGGACGGCAGACGCGGAAGGAGCAATTTGTCCTGGGGAAAAGGAAAGAAACATCTCAGGCAGGAAAAGAGAGCGAACCCCTTTTGACGCTGTAAATTATGACAAGTATTATGCGTCAATGATACTGCACTTTCAGTAGGGGATATCAATGACTGCAACCTGAGTCCGCATCCACTTCCTGAATTGTCTCTGTTCTCCTCATTGTCTTAGTCTAACCGCTATCTCAGCGCCCAAGTGCAAGCCTCACAGCGGGGTGTGAATTTTTCCCGCTGTCGATGCCCCGCAAAGTGCTCTAAACGCCCAGCTCGGTAACTGGCTAGAAGCTCTGTTTCGCTTTTGGACAACTGAGAGGCGCTCTGCTAGTGGCCATCAGCACATGCAGTAGCGCCTCGGAGCTTTAATCAGAGTATGCATAACCGCCTTTCGATTTGTATTGGTTCACATTCAGCACCATTTTGTCATGGCAAGCGCCTGAAGATCGGAATATGCAGTGCTGCCTCTTGAAGCG